ACCACACACACACACCACTTTTTTTTGAATGTTTTTTGTTGCTTTCTTACGCTTGCACGCATGCGCGGCGGAGTTTGTTGAGGATTGTTTGGGCGTTAGATGGGCTGAGCATAGTTTGCGTGAGAATGTACATTATTTTTTTTATTGTTGGATGTATCTACATGATAAAAAAGAGGTTGTTGAAGAGTGCATGCGTGTTAGTGTGCCTTCTGACGACTCATGCTGTCATCATTTGTTTTGACACGTTACTCTCTATTTCCCTCTTTCTTGTTGCATTTGTGTTTGTGTGGCTATTTTTTTTTTCTCCCCCCTCCCCCCTCCGGGTGTTCTTCGTGCCAGTGCCACTGTTCGTTATGCCCTTTTCCTTTTTTTTTTGTTCCTTTTGGTGGGTGCCTTTTGTGCGATTGTGTGTATGAAAGAAGATAAGATTTTGCTTTTTGTCTTTGTGTGAGGCAACGTGCAGTTACGGAACAGTCGTCATTATTTTAGCAGAACCCGCCTGGGACACAACCACCAAGGATCCACCTCCCCACACACACAAACAAAAAAAAAGGGAAGAGACGTCTTTTTTCCCACCTGAATGCTCAGCACATTGTTCTTTGATGAGGCTGATGCCAGTAGCGCCCTTCATGTGCGGGCGACACGTCAGCAGCATGCTGGGGGCGAGGAGGAGGGCTCAGAGGTCTCTGGGTCTCTCTTGGCCACGTGTAATGCAATGAAATGTTTCAACAGTGGCTCCGTTCCGGTCCCTTCCCTGCGGGCCACACTGCTTTGGTGGCTCGACCGCGATGCACCCCTGGTGCATCTCATCTTTACTAGCAGTGTACCTGGTGATGTGAGTTATTCTTGCCGCAAAATGTCGGTGGAGGTTCCCGCAACGCGTCAAACGATCATTGCGTGCGGACTTACTCACATTCAGGAAGGAACTGTGTTTGCCGTCACCTGGGTGACCTCTCTGCTGGAGGTGGGGCTACTGCGACTTCAACTGCAGCGCAACAGTGACCATCACAGTCAACTTCTTCTTGTCCCTGATGGTAAGGCGGTACTGACCTCCCGACTTTTACGCGTCGCTGATGCATTTAAAAATGAGACGGAAACTTTTTTGTTCACTAACAGTGATGCTAACAAGGATCTTGGGGAATCCGTTGGTATTGGGGTTTTTCTTTCAGCATGCGTGGTGGCAAGTCTTCCTCAAGAGAAGGCAGCCAATGGGGTGCTTTCCATGATTTTTCTCACCAATGGCATCAGCTTGTGGTGGGTTGAGGTGGGCGAGGACGGCGCCTTTGTCGAGGAGGAGTTTTGTAACCCAAGGGGTTGTAATGGTGGTACTGCAGGGTCATTACGAGCTGGTGGAGTTACTTCTTGGCTTCCCAGCTGGCCCTGGGATGGGAAACGGGAAAGGGGCAATGGTGTCTGGCCATCAATGCCGTGCACCAGACGCATTACATTCTACTCCTTCGTTGCAATGGATTGTTAGAGTTATATGACAGTTCAGTCGATTCCGTGGCTTCCATCTCGTCCTGTAGTCTATCGAGGGAGGACGGGGTGGCTTCCAGTGTCGTGTATCAATGGGCTACGCTCCTTAATGGCAATATACATGTGGTGACCTGCTTCGGTGAGAATGAGGCCTGTCGCTGTGTGTGGTCGCGTTTACCAGTCATTATGGCGGGTGACAATTTTCAAGGTGCAGAAAGTATGACAATAATTCCTCCAACTGCGACCAGTACACTTATTGGATGTGTTGCGGTGAGTGCTGCCCGTCTTGCTCTTCTTTGGGATATTGGTCTGGAGGAGGATGCTTGCCTGTGCCCACCAATTTCAATTGGGTCACTGTTGCACAGCACGCATCATGGCGAATCAGGCATTTTACAGCTCGTTACGGCACAGACAAAGGATGAAGCAATCGACGAGAGGGGCGATAGAAGGATTGAGAATAGTCAGAGAAACGCCGTTGTTGCACGCATGCCTTTAAAAGAGACAGAAGTTTACTTTTGTAATTCGCACCCGCTTCACGCACTAACATCTGTGGGGCAAGAATTGGTGCTGATTGAGAAGGTGGATGGGAAGGTGCGGGCTCATGTGCTATCCACTGAAATGAATATTTTCGAATCACTGGTTGAATCTCCGTTTGCAGTTCTTCGTCCTGTCGTGGCTTCCACTTGTAACTCTCTCGCACTTCCGGCGATGCACCTAATTCCTGCTGTGGTTCGTTATGAGGATCGTCTTCAGTGCATGGATACAGGGGCATTTGAGGAGGGTGTGGAGTTGGCGGCGTCATGCGCTGATGGTGCAGACAACCTCTCGGCGTTACTCATCAATACGGTGCAAAGTGTGCCCGTGGCCCTCACACTAGGTGGCTTTCAGATTTTACGTAGTGCGGCTCACTTACAGGGCTATGCCGCGTCGAGCCTTGTGGATGATGCCACAATGCGAACTGCAGTGGAGCACGCCGCAACCTACACGGAGCTTCCTTTTAGAAACACCTCATTTTGCAGTTTTTCACGTCGTTTTGTGCAGCATACCGTTTTGAGGGATCTTTTATCACGTATAGCTTACCTTGTGTGCTCGTACATTGGGTGGGTGTGTTCTGGTCTAGCGTACAACACGAACCTGGAACTGCCTCGCGTCCGTGTCGTCCTAGAGTTTCTTTCTGCGGCGTACCATGCGGTGGGCGTTGCTGGACCTCATGTCGCTTCTATCGCACCTTGTGTGGGCGAAACTGTCATATCCGATGTGCTGCAGTTGTTGCTTCAGTTTAAGCCAGAGTGGGGCGAGGAGGGGGAAGATGCACTGTACGCTGTACACGTCGCGAAACGCCTCTGGGCATGTGACAGGCATCGTGGAGTGAGGGCGTGTGCGACGTGGTGCAATCTTTTGGGCCGTCGTTATCCTTACCTCCAGCACTTTCGAATTCTACGCGATCTTGGCGCCGGCCGAACAGCACGTTCTTCTCAATTTGTGATCATGTGTCTGGGGGCATCCCTCCACCTAGCGAGCCTGCCGACCAGCATCGCCGTGCCACTTCTTCTTGACACAGGATTGGATTCTTGCAGTGGAGGATTTCTGCACACGGCCTTCACCAACGTGAGTGTGGAGGATTGGAAAGCGTTGCTCACGAACACGACGCTCATTGCGAAGGTGTACCGTGTGGCTCTTCTTCGCCGTGTCATTTATCCAAGGGACGCCCATCACGCAAGCGTGAGCGGTTTACTGATACGGGAATTGTTTCTCACCGAATTGGTGGAGCTGGAGCAGTACGTGCGTCTCGCAGGTGGGGCATCCTCACGCGTCTACCAGGCACTTTCAGAGCTTCGACTCGAGACCCACCTGTTCCTTGCACGCGTAGCGCTAGATGAGTCAAACGTCGCCGATCTCTTCCGGTCGCTGGAGGAGGTGTTACAGTGTGCGGCGGAGCAAAAGACGACGGACGTGTACTTGGAGCGGGTCTTGTCGATTGTCGGAGAGGTGGCGGAGTTGGCCTCCGGCTCGCAGGAGATAACCGATGCACTCGTCTCTCTCGCCCACTCTAATGCGGAGTTAGACGGTTTTCTTGCGGCGAAGTGGTATTTGTACGCGGCAAGACTACCAACAAGGACGACGTCGTCGCCAGTGGATGTTGTGCGATTGCGAGCAGCAAGAGGGCTCTTTCGCTTTCTTTGCAAGCGTCATGCGTATGGGCAAGCCGGTCGCATGATGACAGACCTCGTCAACGTTGCCCGTTGTTCTGCACCTCGCTCGAGCGCCGTGGAAGCGGTGGTGGAGATAACTGCGCTTGCACTGACCGCAGTTGAACTGATTGCGCCCGATGTACACTTAGCTGCACAGAATGAAGAGCGAGAACCGTCGATGCTTGCGGCATATGGGTCTACCGCCTATGCATATGCACCGGAGCAAGCGTCTTTAAAAGGACCGTTAAATCGGAACCATCTCCCGTGGCTGCGTCGACGGCACTTTCAGGCTTTTTGTGAGAAGAAGTTGCTGGATGCGAACCAACGCGTGGACTGCGCAGACTTGTGGACGGAAGACCCACCCAGTGGGGCACAAGAGGCGGCTGTAAAAAGATTTGTGGAGGCGCTTATTGAGTCGCGTTTTTGGCCAGAGGCCCTTCGTTTTGCATCCATGACTGGGTACGATGTTGGTGCTGTTCTTCAAGAACATGTGCGAGATTTGATAACGTCCACTGACTACACAAGCGACGAGGAAGCGTTGGTGGAGTGGTGTGAGATGATTGATGGATGTGCAGAGTTCTCGTTGCCGTCAAATCACTTTGCTCCGTTGAAACGCACGGTGGTTGCGGCACTGTCATTTGACTTTACGCGGGCGCATCCTGCTCTCCTTGAATCCCTAGAGCAGGCGGATCGTTATGAGGCCCTGCAGGCATTGATGGAAATTTTTGAGATACTACTTTATAGACAAGCGAAAATGGTAAGGACGAATACTGTAGGGAATGAAGAGGAGGCTGAAGCGCCGTCGCCTGCTGCATTCTCTGATGCCGGTAGCAATAGCGACTCCCGTGTTATCCAGCCCTGGTTGCCTCTAGTGGAGGCGCTGCGGATTGGCACTGGTGTTCTTACAGACGCTCTGTGCAACGATGAGGATGCGTCGAAAATGAGCGAGGCGTCCATGACTGCGGGGCTGTTTGACCGTATGTCTCTCAGGGCACGCGAGTTACTAGATTCCCCGCTCCTGTTGGAGCGCCTAAGCACGTTACAGGCGGGGCCCACCGCCGACGCCTTTTTGAGGTCTTTTGAAGCGGTAAAGGGTTTTAAGTTGGCTACCGGTGTAGGATCCTAACAACAATAACAAACTGGTGGTGGTGCTGGTAACCGGGGATAACAAGGCGACGAGGCGTGTCGCTTAAAAGACCCTAGATGGCAGAAGGAGGGATAAGGCCTGAAGAAATAAAGCACGAGAGGATGAGTGGGGAAGGAAAAGAAGCGGAAAACACGAGACGTTTCCGCGGGGAAGCGCGAGTGCGTAGGGGTTGGGGCAACATCTCTTTTACCACGAAAGGAACGATGCTGGGGAGAAGGACAATAAAACTGCTGCAAGGGTGCTCCCATAAATGGAGGAGCTGATAGAAATTCCTCCGTCCACCACCATGACACAATACAAAAAGAAAAAAAAAGAAAAGAAGAGACGGAAACGGTGAAGAAGGTGACCTGAGAGTTTGTTTTATTTGTTTATCTTTGAGTTTTACAGAGCCACACATTCAAATAAACCTTTCCTTACTGTGGTTGCAACCGTTGTGGTG